GGGGTCACCATATGTATGTCTGTCTGTCTGTCTGTCTGTCTGTCTGTATGTATGTATGTATGTATGTATGTATATAGCGTATGTATGTATGTATGTATGTATGTATGTACGTATGTACGTATGTAGGTATGTATGTATGTATGTATGTATGCATGCATGCATGTATGTATGTATGCAGAAATGTTATTTTTGTATATGGATATGTATAGATGTATCATACCAGAAGGTACTGTAGTATTATGCATCATACCATAACATACGCTGTAATTCAGGCTCTTAACGAACTATACTATAATAATGACTATAACCAGCAAACATACCATACTTAATATACTATACTATGCTTCATCAATGTACCAGAATATGTTGCAGGAGAGCGCCTAAAGAACTTCAATTCTGATCGAGAGCTCTTCTAGGAGCGTGTCAAGGCTTCCATCGTCGCCCCAAAAACTAGGTGCTTCAGGTCTTAGACAAGGCTTCAAGATGCTTCAAGTTCAAGTTGGGAACCTGGGCGGAGATACACGATTCCCAAACCTAGAGGCTCTCTCCGATAACTGCTTCCTTTTTGACCCGGAGCAGTTGCAAGCTTTCTGCATCGGGACATCATTAACCAGGCACTTTGGCACGACGTTTTATCATGCTTTTGCCTTTCCTGCGGCTTCTCAACCAGCTTCCACGAAGGGTAGACTTTCTGAGGCATGGGACAGAACTTGCCTTCATAGGGCGCTTTTAATGCCAATCGGCCACCGCTTTGAAGGCCCCAGGCCCACATCTCGCCGGAATCTGTAAAAGCCAGAGAGTGGGCGTGGCCACACGTCACGGCTAGAAGCTCCGGCTTTCCAGCACCCCAGCCTTTGCAGGAGATCAGTGTTGGGCCAACTTGGTCGGGAGATCCTTTTCCCAAGCCAAGTTGCCCTTTGCTGTTATCACCCCAACCCCACAAGCTGCCTTGGGAAGTGATGCAAAGAGTGTGGTTACTCCCTGCTGCAACAGACAGCAATTCAGCACCCTCTTCGATCTTCTTGAAGAGAAGGGGTGACTTCACGTGATCCTCTTCGCAGACTGTATAGTCCCTGCCAAAGACCCACAACATCGATCGCTCATCCAGCGCGCAGGTGTGGAAAGATCCGCAGCTCACATGCGCAAACCTGGGGCTCTCCACTGAGGTGCCCAAATCGGGCTGGACGGTCTGCACGAGCTTCAAGGAATACTGGTTATCCATGTCTCCGTGACCTAGGCGGCCAAACCATCCTGCGCCACAGGTGAATAGCTCCCCATTGCTTCCGATAACGGCTGTGTGCATGGAACCGCAACTCACCGACTTCATGCGGTTTTCGATTCGGACCTGCTTTGGAAAGCCCATGGAGCTCCGAATCATGCTGGACCCGTGGCCGAGTTTGCCGCACTCGGCATTGCCCCAGGTGTAGAGCTCGCCGCCCGGAGTGATCGCTGCAGAGTGATCCTCTCCAGCGGCCACCGCGCTCACTTTGGACAGCGCTGCCACAAAGGTGGGCTCGCTCATGTCCTCGAGAACTGGCCCTACAGAGCCATCAGACTCAGACAGGCTGGAAATGAAGGATACCAGGCACCGTAACTCGCGGCTCAGGCAAGAAATCTACGTGACGTTCCCACACACACTTTTGCCCCTGTTTTGCAGCCGTTGATTTGACCTCATTCAGGCGGCTGGAATGCTCATCGGCTGGGTCCATCTTCCAAACGCAGCGTTTATCTCCTGTTTTGCTTCCTTCCTCCACCCCTTCCTGTTCCCCCCCTTGCCCCACTTCCTCTAACGTGTGCGCAGGGGTAAGCAAACACAAGAGTGTAAAGCTAAGCAAGCTCGGCAAAGGGCAGCCGTCCAACTCACTTCTTTGCATTGCTGGGGAGCACCATGTCACACCGCACTCATCCGTGGGGGTTACCCAGAAGCCGATACCAGTAAGAGGCACTACAAGAAACTACAAGCAGTACTTCGATCTCCCAAGCTCCCCCCGCCTTGGTCGTTCCAAGGCCGAGCTGTCCATGGTGGTTCCGGCCCCAGGCAAAAAGCTCCAAGTTCCTGGAGATCATGAGGCAATGCTCCAGGCCCAAGCCGATCGTTAGCACCTTGATCTTGGAGCCGGACAAGGGGTCCATGGCTGCGAGTAAGTTTGGCTTCCAGACGTCCTGGGCCTCCGAAGAAGCATTCTGGCCATACTCCCCGGTGCCCCAAAGCCAGCAGGAGCCATCTTTCTCCACGGCGGCGGAATGCATGCCGCCGCAGGCCAGAACTTCGATCTGGCTCTCCGGGCTCGGAGCCTTTTGGCCTTTCGGGGTCTCCAACAAAGCTTTCGGATCCTCCCAAGACTGGGAAGTGGAGGGCCCCCTGGTCTCACGCACCCAGCCACGAAGATTCGAAATCCGCTCGGGGACTTTCCGATCGCTGACGTTCTGCCCGAGGCCAAGGCGTCCCATGCTTGCGGAGCCCCAGCTGAAGACATCGCCAGTGCCACTCAAGGCCAGAGAATGGAAACGCCCTGCAGCAATTTCGACGATCGCGTGACCTTGCAGGTTCTCAGCATCCAGCTCTCTGGCAGTCTCAATATCATCACTCTCGCCGTGCCCCGTGTACAAATAGCCCCCCCAGCTCCAGATGGTGCCGCGGGATGTGAGGGCCAGGCTGTGACAAACCCCTAAGGCTACCTGGCAGCAACTCTTCCCGATCATCGAGCTCACTTGCCGTGGATACATATTGTCATCCTCCTCACCATGGCCACAGCGGCCAAAGGAGCCGGCACCCCAGCACCAAACCTGGCCAATGAGATCGATAGCCGCAGAGTGGGCCTCCCCGACGGCCGCAAACTTGAAGCGAGGCGCTGAGGTCTTCGAACTCTCAGTGTCAATTTGGAGAAGTGTTGGCTTCAGGGCTGCCTCACATGCTGGACCATGGCCCAAACGACCATGACCTCCATGGCCCCAGGAATAGAGTCCTCCGGTCCTAGTCAGGGCCATGGAATGCTTTGTGCCCGCGGCCACTTGGCAGCACTTCACGTCACTGGGCATGTGAACCAGGGCAGGTGTCCACTGATCGCAGATCATACCGGTACCTAAATTCCCATAGCTCCCGATGCCCCAGGCATAGATGGCGCCGTTCTCTGTCAGGGCCAATGTGTAGTCTGTGCCGCAGCTTACGGAAGTAATTCGATCCATGCCGAAGTCCACGCGCAAGGGCACGTTCAGGCCCCACTTACCATCGCCACTCGTGACTTGCTGCACGTAAGGCTTATCGCTGAGAAGGGCTGCCTTCGCTTCAGCCGCGCACATGGAAGTCTGCAGCAAGTGGTCCAAGTCGGATTTCTTCTTTGGCCGCTCCACTCCCAATCGACCACCGTTTCCCAAACCCCAAATCCAGACCTGACCGCCCTCCTCCCCAGGACGCTTTTGCAGCAAGGCGGAATGATTTCCCCCACAGCTCACAGCAACGACCTCTCCTCCATCTCCACTCAGAAGGGACAAGTCCAGGAGCTGAGGCTCTGCGGTGAATCCCGTGCTTCCACGTGCGAAGAGGTCGGTGCCTTCCCCCTCGGGGCCCTCGGCTAAGCTCAGCTTCTCTGCGCTTCCAGGGCCAGAAGGCGCATGGCCCGTGGTCGTGGCCTGGAGGAAGTTCCGCTTCGTCCCGAAGCCATGGACTTGGGATTGGCGATCTCCATCCGTGGCGAGCTCCCGGTCGTTGCTGAGCACCAGGCTGTGGTAGAAGCCTGCCGAGAGGCGTGTGGGCTCAGCAAAGCCGAGGCTCATCGCCGCGCCCTCGCCGACCGCTCTTCTTTGAGAAACGGCTGCCACAAAGGGATTGAATCTTTTAGGGGACTTCGCATTTGCACTGCCACCAAACAGCTACCTCCCCTATACTCCGAGTCTAAGCTGAGGATCCAGGTATTTCGGATTCTCGCATTCGGCGGGAGGCGGGAGGTGGTCGACCTTCTCAGCATTCCTCGGCTCCATGTGGCGGCACTCTATCCACCGGTCATTCAGAGTCACGGCTCGATGCCGCTTGCAAGCGAGGTGCTCCCAAAGGCTACGCCTGACGTCGAATGTAGGTGCAAGCTCGCGCTGGGCAGGGATGTGAGCATGCAGCACCAATCATGAAAGAACATGCCACGGATCTCTGCATGTCCCTGGCTGTCGCCCCCTTAACCCCCAAACCCAGATGCTCTTGCTCTTCAAAGCGGAAAACCGAGCAAGCTAACAAGGGAGGGCGCATGTCGGAACAGGCTGAAGACTCCCCGCAGGACCGCTCCGGCCACCAACATCTTCGTATGAAACCTCGGTACCCGGGTGGCAGAAGGAGGGGAAGACGAGTTTTGCCCAGATCCGCCGTCGTAGTTGAGATTTTCTGTTGATGGTACGTAGGCCTCTGCTTTTCTTTTGCTGGTACAGCTGACCACATCCGATACCACGCGCCTTCCCTGGCTTGCTGCATTTCTGTCCGATGACACTGAACAAAACTGCGCCAGGCAACTTGCATCCACATGGTGTAGCGAGACCACCATGAAGCGAGAAGTCTCACCTCACATGGATCGCCAGACAGCAATTGCAACGCGGCAAGCCAAACTCCTATCACATCGGCTTTTCGTCAAGCTTCCTTGCGGCCTCTGTGGCTTTTTGAGCGTCAGCTTGGCCCTTCCATTGTCACAGTTCACACACACTACCGGCAACGTAAGGACGTGGGCTCTGGTCCCTCCTCCTGTTACCCCAACGACGAGAAATCGGTTCCAATGGCAAGCACGGTCAACCTTTCGTTTAACTCGAAGCTTTGACAGTAATTAACCCTAAAACCCCAAACTTCCAGAAGTGCGGGCTTGGCCTGTCCCTCGCGACGGTCGGAAGCTAACTTTGGCTTGGACTGGGCTCGAACCAACAAGCCAAAGGTCCGATGTATTCCCGACATTGCAACTTCAGCAACAGCTGGAACGGGGAGAAGGCAGCACTTGGCTCGGAGACTTCGGGAAACTGCGTGCACCCATGCTTCATCGTCCTGCCTACCGTACCGAAGGGCCCTGAACTTGGCAGCTTTTTCTCAGTAAAGTCTGGTGCCGCGCTCTCGCCATTTCGAATATTTCGAGCGCGCGAGGAGGTTCCTTAGCCGGGACCGCCAGCAGAGCTGCAGAGTATATGCTGACACTCGTGCTGTCGCGGGCACGCATTGATGAATAAGCGCAATGGGAATTAGGCAATGACCTGGGCTAGAGCAATGAGGCAAAATTGCAGAGCCACCTGGCTTTCCATAATAGACTCGGTGCGCGTTGAAGCCGCTTTTCCCTTTGTGAACACTTTGAGAATCTTTTTTACTTTCCTTGGACTGAGCCAGGGTTTGCGATGCTCAGGTGGGCTCATTCTGTTCTCAGGGCCCTGCCACCTTTGTCGTCTTTGTGCTTGCCTTCACCTTTACCCTCTCCTTTCTTCGGAGAGCTCTTCTTCTTCACCGTGAGCCGCGTGCCGTCTGTAAATGGGAAGCTGTTGAGGGATCGGATTGCCTGTGCAGCATCACGCCCTTAGTCTACGATTTCGAACCTGAACCCCTACAACGCTGGGCCCGTTTTTTTCCAAGCGAGCCTTCTCAGCTGCCTCCGCAGTCATGTAGTTGATGAAGCCAATGCCTGTGCACTGCCCGGTGTCCTTGTCCAGAAGAGCTGTGGCCTTGAGACTTGAAAAGGGGATGTCACAGGCACATACTGAACAGCGAACATAAAGCCCAAAGAAACAACAGAGACAGATGCAGACCGGTTGTAAGCTGAACGATGTGCCACCGGCTCTTCAGGGAATTAATTTAGAGGCCATGCCACTCCTCTTGGGGCAATGGGTCCGAAAGCGGAGAAGATCTGGTACATCTCTAGGTTCGTTGTGTCTGGAGGAAGTCCACCAACGAAGAGCCTCGGATCAGGAGCAAAGCCATCGGTGGACCCCGGTGGACTCCGACTGTCTGGAGAAACAGCTGAGAGAAGCGATCGCTCTCAAGATCATCCACGACATGCCAAAGATGCCAAATGGCGTGTTTTCATCGTTATTCCACTTGCCACCAGTCCCCGGGACGACCTGCAACGGGGATTGACATAGCCCTCAGCACAGATTAAGCCTTCAATGGCACACAAAAGGCCCCCTGAACTTGCGTAAACCCTAAACCCTCAAACCCTTAAACCCTAAAGGGGCCCTGATGCTTTCAGGCCCCCTGGGCCCACCTGGGAGGAGACGATGGACCTGACGAGGCCTTTCGCCTCTTTTGGCGCGGGGTAGCCGCCCTTGCCGAAGCCCTTGAAGGGGTCCATGGGGCCTTTGCCTTGGCCCATTTCTGTAGAAGGCTCTACTTTCACGCTACAAGCCATGCGTCAGAGCTGAAAGAAAGCCATGGCCAAGTGGCCATAGTCCATGTATCCCTTTCCAAAGAACATAGGACCACCCATCATGGGCATTGGGCCCATGGGCCCCATGGGGCCCATGTACATCATGTCCCAATCCATTCCTTTGTACCAGCCCTTCATGGCGAAAGGCAAGTTGCAGGGGTTTCTCTGCCTGCCAACCTACCTGTATACATCAGCTTGGGCCGATGCAGGAATGCAGCAACAGATGGCTCAAGTCGCAAGAAGAAATCCTCAAAGATACGCGAGTCTACAGGCACTCCCTCTTTTTGCACCTGTCTGCCCGACCATACCTCCTGAATCCTGGTAAAGGCATCAAGTTTCACTAACGTGGGTCAGGGCCTTGTGGATTTCAATCTGATGCCTTCCTCTGCCAGCGTCGCGCTGACACGTTGCTACGTGGCTGACAAATGGCGAAGTAACATGGCAAGCTGGTATGCTGCAGGCGCAGCCGCGAGGTATGTTGACGCATTGAAAACGTCCTGAAATGATTACACGATGCCAGATGGCACAGACATGCACAGATGCAAAGTCTGTGGCAAGCGTCCTCTGTCAGAGCAAGACAATAACAGTGGTGTGTTGTGGTGTGTTCGTTCCGTGTAGCTGGTGGCAAGCCGGCTCAGGACTTTCATGGTGGGTTACATGTCACAAGCATCCGGACGGACTCTTAAACGGTTCAACGGTTGGCTTCCTCCAGACCGTAACGAGTCCGAAACAAGCTAACACTCCGTTGATGTGGCCAGGGTGGCGATGATGGCATGAGATTTCACAGCTATGCTTGCTTTGCGTGTCTTCCTCCCTGGTATTTCACGGTTGGGTCAAGGCAGTGCTCTTGCGTTTTCTGCCCGAACACAGACACACACATACATGCTGTTGATCGCTTTTCACTGGCAACTTCCAATTTCATAACTCAAGAGCCCAGCAATGTAGAGACAATGCCTCTCAGAGAAGCCGCAAAGGTATCCAGGTCCACCAGACCTCAGCTGGGAAGTTGCCGCTTTGTTGAAAGCCCTCTCCCAAGAAATTGTCCTGAGAATAGCCGACCTCAAGTGCAGACCGGGGTCTACGACTTGCTGCCCTTACCCTTCTCTCCTTTGGAAGGCTTTCCGGATCCCTTCTCGTCACCTTTGCCCTCGCCCTTGCTCTTCGGAGGCCCTTTCTTCTTCACCGTCAGCCAGCTGCCGTCCTCAATAAGGCTTGCAGGGTGCAGGGAACAACATGAACCTCAAGGACACTTTGGTGCTAGGGGTGTCGCTAGGAGCAGGCACGAAGTCATGAGTAATCCTTTTGACTCCCAAAGCTTGGGCAATCCGGGCGATTCGTGATTCAGCAAGCCGCTACATTGAGCAACATCCTTTGTTTTGACACCTGTTTCCGACTGCTGGTGACAGAGAGCCTTGTTAGGCAGCCGGTAAGGCCCTCCGTCACCAGCAACAACCTTTTTATAGGGTTTAGGCTTCGTTTTGGCGAGTTTACTGCGGCACGCCCGAGATTTACATGTCGGGCAGTCCAAAACTCTTACCAGTGCTGGCGAGGCTCAAGAAAAGGGAAACTATTCAGCACTCGAATCGCCCTTTCGGCGGCATCCTTCTCCATGAAGTTCACAAAGCCGATGCCTGTACACTTCCCGGTCTCCTGAAGTCGCCTATCTCCGCTCTACCTACTGCAGTCGCACGTGCATACTCGTCTATACTATGCTGTGCGCTGTATAGCCATACTCTTCTTCTCGCTCTAGCGATGGCCAACCCCCCATGCGAACGGACTGCGGATCTGTCTGACTGGAGGGAACAAAACCAAGGCTAGCTCTCTCTCTCTCGCTCTCGCTCTCGCTCTCGCTCTCGCTCTCGCTCTCGCTCTCGCTCTCGCTCTCGCTCTCGCTCTCGCTCTCGCTCTCGCTCTCTCTCTCTCTTGCTTGCTTGCTTGCTGGGGGTTTGGGGTCTAGGACCCCCGGCCCGAAGGCCAACCCCTCAACGGCGCGCGACGGTCTCGTGTGCCTACCCCGTATTGGGGTCCTGCAGCCATGTCCCCTCCAGGTGAGCACATTCTACCCCCCCCCAAAACACCCCTTCTAAGACCGTGACCGAATGTTACAAGCCCCTCCCTCTCTCTCTCTCTCTCTCTCTCTCTCTTCTTCTTCCCCAGGGC